AAAAAAATTCAGACAAATTTATGCACATCAAGTGGGATTATTTTTTTCTTTTTCGTTTCGTAATTTGATGGATTTAGATGGAATGACCCAAAAAGCCTTGATTTCTCTCACAGAGGAACAGCAGACACCAACCAGTTTCAAGTGACTGACAATCAACTGTTGTACGAAGCCACTTTCATGCTCTTCTATCCAACTAATATGTTGAAAGCAAATTTATCTTGACAAGACAAGGGTTTTTATTAAATTATGCATCCACTCCAACAGAAATATCAGAATATGCAGTAAAACAGCACATTAGGTTTAATCAGCACCTCATCAGATCAGTGTTATCATTACTTACATGACTCAACGTGTCTCAGAAACCAAATTTCTGTTTTTGCACTTTTTCTGGCTTTCAGTGCACAGTCACAAAGCATTTTATCATTGAAGGAATTTTACAGAACGATGGGTTAGAATGGGACTAGACGGGCAGAATGTTCACTTTCATTACTAATCAGATTGGCTTCGTAATATCTCTTCTCTCTTTTATAGACTGCCAACGAGAGCTCTTACAGCAAGTCTGAGAAGAAAAACCTGAGATTACCTCTAAAGTCCATCCACTGTTTTTCAAATCTTGAAACAGCTGATTTTAAGGTATTAGACCCCTGAAATCCTTGGACACAGATCTTTGAGCTGTAGTGAGCTCTGTGAGCTCTGGGCAGGCAGCTTTTAGTTTTTATCCTCGCCACCTGTGAAACAGTCTGCCACAGGACCTGCGGGCATCTCAGTCTGTGGACAGTGTTTTACCTTCACAACGCTGAAAGCGCTCTCTCACTTTTATTTCTTTTTTTTTTCAGAAAGGTTATAAATGTGTAATATCTGTTAACCTGATATAATGGGCTGCATCACTGAATAAGGTCAAGTAAAGTTAACACGATATCAGGAAGGAAATATTATCTTGTTTTTTTTTCCTCTAATACGCTCACACAGTCTAGACAGCAGTCAGTTGACTCAATATATGACTTCAGTGCTGAGGGACTCTTTGAATCAATACAGTGGATTCTCAGAGCACGTCTAAAGATAAAGCAGAGTCTTTTGAATGCGGCTTTCCTCTCTCAAGTAGAGACAAGTATAAACCATGGGACCAAGAAGTAAACTAGCCTTTTGTGATTTGATCCGTCTGCCTCGACGACCTCGCTTTGAATGCGTGTCTTTGTTTGTGTAAGCCCTCGGGTGATAATGAAGGTCTTTCTTATGAACTTAAATGTTTCACTTTCAAGTGTCACCAGGTTACATCAGATTTAGTAAAGTCCTCAAAAGTTGCAGTTTTTGAGAGGCACATCAGGGACATTTCAGCAATTGTCCCTTCTTCTTAAAGAGCATCAGTGCAGAAGAGTCAAAAACGTTTACATTTTTTCTTATTATTCTCTTTTATCGTTATGCATAAAGGCATGAAAGGGCCCTCACAGCTTAATCATCAGAAGCAGCACTTTAGGATCTGGATGTATAACAGATTTTATTTCATTCTGAGCACCACAATTTTTGAAGTTGAATTTCTCTTTATCAACAAGTATTTTAGCAAAAAGGCACAATTTCAGGAAAATATTTTAAAAAGATGCACTTGTAATGCATTCTCCACAAAGTCCAATACCCAGATTTTGTTATTTTAATTGACCCAGACCTATACCCAGATATTTAACCTTTTCTTTGCCTGTGTTCAAAGAAAGTTTCATGAATTTGGGCTCCGTAGACTTTAGTTTTATATAATAATATATTCATACTATGATTGAATGTCAAATATAAATCAACATAACATAAAAATATCTAACATTAGGAAAAAGTAACAATATTTATGATGACTATTATTATCATTGTTGATATAAAAGCTTGTGTTTGGTGTCATTGATGTTACAGATGACACAGCTTTTAGTACTGTATGGATTACAGTCTTCCAAGCCAGTAATACTTTACAGCATGTTTACAGCAAAACTTTCATTACTTCACTTACAGTATTTTTTTAGCATGCACATCAAACTTGCTGATCAGAAATTTCTTTAAAAATCTTGCAAAGTCCTTCCAGACATGAGTAGGAAGAATACAGATGTGTGGTATATAAAATTAGCAATGGCTGAATTCCATTTAGGTTTCTCAGTTTCAGGGTTGTGGTGTGACTCGTGTTGGCTCAGTGGTAGTGATATTAGTATATAAAAGTCTGTGAAAAGGTGAGATATCAACTTAAAATATTATTGTCAATCACGTTTGTCTTCTGTGAACTAAAATTTTTCTGTACAAGAAAAGTTGTGTGCTTTTTGTTACAGTCACACTAGAGAAAACTGTGGTTGGAGATCGCAGAATGCCCCAAATTATTGTGACCGTGTGCAATGACCATGCTATTTTGCTGCCTTTGAAATGACTGACAGGGACCATGTCTGCACGCAGTCAGGTGCCATCTTTAGAACAAATTTAGTACATCAAGACGGCAAAAAGAAAAGCAAAAGGACAGAGTCAGTCTGCTGTCAATTTATAACTGAATTAACAGAATCTGTGATTAACTGTCATAAACAGGTGGAAACTGTGAATCTGTGAGCCTCTACATACACAAAAATTCACATTAAACAGAAATGCACAATCACTACTTACATTCACAGTCCAAATATGACCTGGCCTCAAATAAGTAGAAGAAGATGGATGGATGGATGGATGGATGGATCAATGGATCGATGACACAAGTGCTCAACAGTGTTGCGTTTATATAGAAATCTAACCAGAATAGACCCCTTTTCAAAGGGATACAAAGGGACGCATCAGACTGAATCAGACTGAGTGAACTTGTCGGCATTCTTTCTGCATCTCTACATTAGTTTATAAACTATTTGCAAACCTTCAGCAATCTGTCTGAGACTGACTGCAGTCGGTCCAGGTCCGATAGTATGGAGAAAATTATTTGCCTCCCACTAAGTGACCTGTGCAATCCCCTTTCAACCAAAAGTGGCCAACCAGAGGTAGGTGGAGTTGCACACTTACAGTACCTTCTATGTGACCAGTTCGTCGCAGCTATTTGCAGTTGTTTACCAAATGCAAAATATTCAATGTAATCATAACGCAACCACCATTATTTTTCTAGATGCAAGGAGGTTGCCATCATATGCTTACTGTAGTGTGACTGAACTATTTGTTTTTCAGTAATAGATAGGCAAGGGTTAGGGTTTATAGGAGTTATAGTACAATAGCACTATTTCATATATATACTTAAAGATTTCTACACCAATAAAGATTAATTGCACTAACAGCCCAGTATTTATTTAACATCTTCCACAGCATATTTCTGTGCCGAACAAATATTACATCCTAAGGCACTGTTCTCGGGCTTCTTCTTGGCCAGTTAGGAAAGATCATTAAAGTGTCTCGCACCAAACGTAGACAGTATGTCTGTGAAAAATCTGCTGCTAGTACCAATAGTGATCTGGAGACATCTGATTTATTCACCCTGCTCAGCTACCCTCTTTTTCTCACTCTTATCAGATTTTTACTGACAAATGGTCCTTGTGGAGCTGCATTCTCTCTTTCTCCACTTGCAGGCGCTCTCTCTCAATCTGCAGCCTGCCAGCCTCAAACTTGATGAACTGCAGTCTCTCCTTCTCCAGCTGCAGTCTCTCCTTCTCCAGATTTAACTTTGCTGCCTCCAAGTCCGCCGCCGACACTCCCTTCTCCCTCTGTCCATCATGAGTTGAGGATAAGGACGAACGAGAGGAAAGGACTGGGCCTTGTTGCGGCGGCAGGTTAAAAGAAGAGTTGCGGTACTCTGATTGGCCAACACGCATGAGCCTCAGCCTCTCTCTCTCCACCTGTAACCTCTCCTTCTCTATTTGCAGCCGCTCTCTCTCCACCTCTGTCTGACGAAGTCGCTCTTTCTCCACCAATAGCCGCTCTTTCTCCACCACCAGGCGTTCAGTCTCCACAGCCAGCCTTTGTTTCTCTAGCTCCAGACGATGTTTCTCAACAGCAACCAGAAACCCTGCTCCTATGTTCTCGTCACTGCTGAGTTCACCCAGCATTCCCATCAGGCCACCGGGCAGCAGTAGATCTCTGCTGGTGGTGGAAGTCGGATCCTTGGAGGGGCTGGGCATGCCCAAGTCATTGTGGGAATAAACATCAGTATCATGCCCCTCTACACGTGCCTCGATGTCACAAAGAAGAGAGGGAATATCATCATCATCCATTTCTCCATCTCCCACATCCCCGTCCAGCTAGAGGGAAGGAGAAAGAGAGAGAGAGTCATCATTTAACAGGTTTTCACACATATGTGGATAACCAGTGGGGAGATCAGCAGCAAGGCTTTCAGCGTAGAACGCTGCAGACATCAGTGATCGCAGACATGAAATTGATTAAGTCAGACAGCATGAAAATGAGGAGCTGGGGTGCAAAGTGGCCTGCAAATGTGCATCAACTGTAGCAACACCTTAACTATTGGATGTGTGTTTGGTATCAGCAGGACGAGGAGCTCCTCTGGATCGGCATAACTAAAGCGAACGCCACACTTATTTCTAATTCTCACAGGAGACTCTGAAGCAAGCCTTCACAAATAAACCCAAAGAAAGATGCGCTCAAGAAGCACTGGGGTAAATGGGGGATCCTAATTTCTCCTGAGTTATTTTCTTGTTTTTATATAAATGATACAGCAATAAATACAGTCATGAGCTATTCTGGGTCATCAATCTGGATTTCTGGCTGAGAGTTTATCCCCAAATTATTTTTAAACTAAATCTCTGCAACTACATTTGATAGTTTCATGTGCTGAGCTGATTATTTCAACATCACTTCTTTTATTACTGCAGATTCTCTGGCTGATAATATGTACCGCTATACTAGATATCGTGCAGTTTTATATTATAAGGCAGTATTAAATCAGCCAAAGACACAAAATAGTGGAGAATTTTTGAGATGTATAAATATCTATATTGGCAAAAGATTTTCACTCGCCCATCCAAATCATTGAATTCAGGAGTTCCGATCACTTCCATGGCCACAGGTATATAAATTAAGCACCTAGGCATGAAGACTGACTCTACAAACATGGCTCGCTCTCAGGAGCTCTTTGAATTCCAAGTCGAGTGGAGTCATTAGTAAATATTCCACAGTCAGCTTTTAGTGGCATTATTACAAAGTGGAAGCGACTGAGAACTCATTTTACGTAGGCTACGTAAAATCACAGAGGAGAGTCAGTGGATGTTGAGGCGCATAGTACGCAGAGGTCGCCAACTTCCTGCAGAGTAAATCGCTACAGATCTCCAAACTTCATGTGGCCTTCAGATTAGCTCAGGAACAGTGTGTAGAGAGCTTCATGGAATGGGTTTCCATGTCCGAGCAACTCACATCACCAAGTGCAATGCAAAGCGTCGGCTGCAGTGGTGTAAAGCACACCAGCACTGGTCTCTAGATCAGCAGAGACGTGTTCTTTCCCAGGGGTTGGGCTTAGCCCCTTAAAATAGTGAAAAGAACAAGACATTTTGGACAATTTCATGCTCCAAACTTTGTAGGAGCAGTTTGGGGATGGCCCCTTCCTAAGATAGATTCTAAGATGATACCCAAAAAAGCTAAAACTGTTATCGCTGCAAAGGTTGGATGGGCATCATATTAAACCCTATGGATTAAGAATGGGATTTTTCTCAAGTTTATATCTAGGACCTATATATAGGACCCATGAAGCGTTGTCTCATAAGATAAGAGTGACCAGTGGGATTTGATCTAAAAGCAGATCTTAATGTAATCACAGAAAAGTAATATTTAAATGTCAGTCTTCAATTATATCCTAATTAATTAACACGTGCTTAATTTAATTTAGTCTCTACCTTGTGAACCTGGAGTACAATCAACAGACTGGATTGACTAGAGACACTTGAGCTGCATAATGTGTATTAAGTAATGGCTGGTAAGGACATTAATTTGACTAATTACACATTAGCAACACTTGAATTTCAACATAGGCTGTTTGTCTTCTCATATTAGCAGCTCTGGATTAAAGAGCATATTTTTACAAAATAATCAGTGTGCATATACATGAAAAGTGATTTAACAGACTCTAAGCTTTGATGGCTACTCTACAGAGAGTAACACACATACACACACACACACACACTGTTACTCTGTATTCACTGACATCGTCCTCCATCTTTACTCCCGGCAGTGCCCCCGCGGCCTGCCCGCTCGACCCGCTGAGAGCCACCATCTCCGGCCAGTCACAGTGCCAGTCCTTTGGGAAGCCCGAGAGGTCAAGCAGCTGGTCACAACCAGATCCCAAAGAAGGCGCCTCGTGCTCTGGAGAGGAATTTCCATACTCAGTCTTAATGGCCAAAGAGGGGGGCGAGGAAGAGAGAGAGAGTTCAGTCTGCAGCTGTTTTTTTTTCGTAAGCGCACGCCAGTCGAGGTAACGACGCTTCACCTGTACATCAGAAAGGGAAGGCTGCTTTAAAAATCACGACTGGGTCCACAGAAGCAACGATACGATCCGAATGGAGACAAACGCACCTCGGCAGCAGTGCGTAGCTCCCCCTCTCCCAGGGCATTCACACCTTGTGCCACTTCCTCCCATGCTTGCCTCTTCAGCTCATTAATGGCTGTGTTCTATTAAAGAAGAAAGATGAGCAGTTAAACTGTTTCATTCAAAGAGGCAAATAATATGACACTAGTTTACTGAATGGAAAAGAAAGTGACTGCACAAATTAAATTCTCCTGTGCCAATGAAAATAATTACCCTCTCTTCACTGGGACGAAGAAAGCGAACACTGGGGCAGAGTGTACACGTGACATAGTCAGCATGAAGATTAAATTTTTTTTTCAACTCTACCTTCTTAACCTCTTCTACTGATTTCATTAGGAAGATTAAAATCTGACTGTTATGTATAAGCAGAAATGTGTCCAGGGTGCAACACACAGGACATCCTGCAGCTGAAAAACAGACATGTCAGTGCTCTCTAGTGGCAGCAACGGTAATGTAACCAGTTCAAACCTTGGAGTCATCGTTTTGTTCATTATTTACAGCCTCTAGATGTTTTAATTTAGACCAATATAAATTGGAGCTGACTAAACACGGGCGGGCGAGATGGCAGAATTATCTGAATGGTTTGTGCTGCTGTTTTTGTCATTTTCCGCACCTTGGTTCACACTTCCGTGGAAAGAGAGCTGTGTATGCATTTTTCTGTGGATAAAATCAAGAAGAAAAGAAAAGAAAAGAAAAGAAAAGAAAAGAAAAGAAAAGAAAAGAAAAGAAAAGAAAAGAAAAGAAAAGAAAAGAATCTCCACCTGTTGTCTGGAGAACAATACGTCTCTCCTCTTGTGGATCTCCCTGATGAGAGTTTGTGTTTCCCTCACGCTGTAGTTGCTCTTCCTCTTCCTCTTCAGGTGCTTCATTTGCAGGAAATCCAGTGTGGCAGCAAGGAGTGGGACAGAAGCCCCCAGAAAAGTAGAGAGCAAGAAAAACAAGTCAAGAGAGACAACCGGAAAAACAGGAGTGAAGTTATGAGAAAGAGAGGCACAGATATGGAAGAAGGTATCAGAGGAAAAGGACTGAAACAGAGGTGTAAAGAGACAGGTCGCAGTTCAGTGTAAAAGGGAAACTCAGTCCTCAAATAGAGAGAAGTGTGGAAGTTTGCTGTAGCTTAGCTGTCCTTCAGCAGCGCAACAGTTTACACCGGGGAGGAATTCCTCCGTGGCTCCGTTTGTAGCAGCTTCTTTAAAGTTTTCCACCTGGGAGTATCTAAGTTAGGACATTTAAGGCTTGGGGGTTAAAGCAATGCCAGCTGGAAAGAAATGTGTTGATCTGGTAGACTGGAGAGATAAGTCATCAAATCCTTCCCTGCTTTGCTCAAGTTTGACTGGAGGGTTCACTTTTTCTTTTAATAAGACACAAGCTATTATTAATATTATAAGAAGGCTTCAGGTTGCAGTCCAACTTCTCCTGGAATGGGCTGCTGCCAGGTAATCTCACGTGTAGAGAAGCATCACAGGGTGAAAGTGTTCTTTAGCCCTTCTTCTTGTTTAGCCCTGTGTAAAAGACGAAAAAGAAAGCAGATGACACGATTTAGTTTATACAGCCACCTACAGTTGCATTAGTGGAATCTGAGCAGAGAGTACAGCCATGTACACTTCACACACATCATCAGTAAACACTAGTCACCTGGTTGCACTGGCAGCCATACATGCCCATGTACACTTCAGATCTCTACCTTATATTCAGGTATTTTCTGGTCAAATCCAATCTGGCCTTCCTCTTCTTCGGTGTAACCAGTGGTTTGGACCTTACTGTAGAGACCTCTGTATTTCCATTCATGAAGGTGACTCTTTATTGTAACTGACAATGATACTTTTGCCTCCTCGGGAATGTTCTTGACTTGTTTGGATTTGTAAAGCAGTTTTTCTTAACTATAAAAGTAATTCTGTCATCATTCACTTCAGTGGTTTTCTATGGGTTTTTAGGCTTTTTGGTGTTGCTGGGCTGTTCAGTGTATTCACCTATTGCGTCATCATACAAATACTTGTGAACTAATCTGTATATTAAGCGGAATGAGTTAGTTTGGGGGGCGTTTTTATAGATAAAAAACACATGTTGACTATTTTAATTTACTCTAAGGGGTTTTTTTTTAATCAGCTGCCCTAATTTTGGATTTGAGCTGGACAATCAGCTACAGGCCACCTTTCAATCTAAAGACAGGCAAATACTATCGCTCGTAACTATGATGAATACTGGTGGGTAGGAACACTGCTCATGCTTCACGTGTCTCTGAAGCACATCAAACATCACTATACTCTGCGAGTCGTCACTATCTGTCTATAATCAGCAGACAATAATGTGTTGTAACAAGAATTTTACTATGATAATAGCACATTTGGCATGCGTTACCTTATCGCACAAGAACACAAGAAAGACCTAGTTGTATGTAAATAAATAAATAAATATATAAATGGATAAACCTCGAAGGTTAAACATTTTTCCCTCTTTAACCTTCCAAATCGTTGAAATTACGGTTGTTTTGTTTTTTTCGATGACTACAAGGCATCAGTAACCAGAGAGGCTCAGCACATTTTTGTCAGAACAGTCATAAATTTCATGTTTTTTCTGCATCTCGTCACCTCCTCCAATAAAACACCACTGGTAATAATAGTAAAAACAACTCACCTTAATCACACAGAAAAACCGCAATCCAAACAGCACCGTTTAAAATGCAATTTTAATGCTGCGTTCATCGCCCCGTCTGAAACGGGAGAGACTAAGGTTTCAAAGCTGTAAAGACGATTAAGGTTCGAGAGATTTAGACTTGATATTTAGACCTAAATAAAACAAAAGCACTTGGTGTTATCTCATTCGGACATCTTCTCTACTCTTGTCATTGTATTGCACGGGGATGGGGGGTAATTTATTGAAACTGAATCGTAGTGTTGTCGTATTTCCAATGTTATTGAAACATTTGAAGGTACCGCCAGTGACGCGCCATTTTAGTTGCTCGTATTGGTTAATCCTCCACCGCGCCCACTTATGACGACATTGAATCTCGCCGGGCTCTTCCGGGCATGTGCACCGCTGTCAACTCCGAAATGTAAACAGGAAAGTCTGTTGGGATACATCTATGCGAAAATCCGCACGTCTCTGAACATTACATTCAAAGACACCGCGCAGACTTTAGCTCGTTAGCAGCTCGTAAGCAGCCCGCAGTTGCGGTGGAGGAGCCCGGATGTCAGAGGTGGAGCAGGGGGCGAGGAGATGGGTTCCGTCCGGTGGGCTTTCCGCTGCGGATCGTGGACGCCGAGCAGGTCAGACTGGCTGTTCGCTGCCCGCTGCATCCAGCGGGAGGAGAAAGATCGGATCGGGCAGTTTGTGTTCGCCAAGGATGCAAAGTCAGCTATGGTGAGTCCAAAACTAAACTTTAACGATTCTTGGTATCGGTCAAGAGCCAAGTAAACAAAAGAGCCAGTGTTGCCGATACCTGTGGCGATACTTTAAATCTGTAAAGTTAACTTTTGTTGGGAAGACCAGTGTGTCTTGATTATGACCACAAGATGGCTGTGATTTTTCTTTTTTCCGCATTACCTACTTAACGCAATAAAACACATCTCATAGCTTTCCATGTATTTTGAATAGACCTGGAATGCGCCTTGGGGCAACTGTTGTTGTGATTTGGCACTATTTAAATAAAATCAAATTGAATTGAACTTAGTGCAAAGCAGAGACTTACAGAACGACGCCCAGCAGGTTTACTGCTACAGGTTTCCGTGGCATGAGGGCCTTTTTAGCGGGACCTTCCTCACACACCAGAACTGGCAGGGCGCCCTGTTCTCTTCACAGATGGTGTTTCAGGCAGCGTATCGCTTGCCATGGCATCTCCAGATATTTTCACATCTTGTCACATGTGCTTAGTGCAAACCTGCTCTCATCTGTGAAGATAGACAGTGTCATGAGAGCCTGTCTCAAGCTACCAGCAGTGATAAGGACACTGGTAAAAAAAAAAAAAAAAAAAAAAAAAAAAGCTAAACTGAAGTAAAAGAAGAGAACAGCAGTCTGTGGCCCCAACCTGAAATGCCATTAATATGTTGCATATTGTATCTCCAGTACACCTGTTGTCACTTTAATTTGCACCAAAGCAATCAAAAGTAGTTTATGTTTATTACCTGGACAGAGTGATGTCCCCAACGTTTATAAAACTTTGTATTCTGCTGTTATCATCAAGTGTTCCCTTAATTATTCTGAAAAGTTTATACAGCTGTCTTTGCATCTCTGTTGCCTCAACAGGCTGGACGGTTGTTGCTAAGGAGGCTTGTGTGTGAGAAGATGGGGATCCCATGGTCAGAGATCAGACTGGAGCGATCTCCCAGAGGCAAACCTTACCTGGCAACACCTGTCAAGGTTCACTCCTTTTTTCATAAAATTCATAAAAGTTTGCATATACTGCAGCATTTTACTTCACTGCATTGTCATTTCACTAAACTACAAGTGTTCCAGCACAAGTAACTAAAAATCAGATATAAATCTTATATATCAGAAATATATCAGAAATATATCTATAACACAGTGCAGGGAGGGGTCAGCGTGGCCCAAATAGTGGATTTTTGTCAAGCTCAGTATAGACTTCATTTATTTTGATACATTCAAACATCCTTCTCCTTACAGGTCAGTTCAGAGTCAGATCTGGCCTGGAGTTTCAATCTCTCCCACCAAGGGGACTACGCAGTGCTTGCTGCAGAGCAGGGGAGGCAGGTCGGGGTGGATATCATGAAGACCGCCATGCCAGGTAAACACTGTGGTTCCCTGGTTAGGATACCCTTGCCAATATATGAAATGACTACATTTTTGGACTCGTTGAGCTATGAAATTCCACCACAAGGGGTCGCTGCTGCATCATATATGTACAGTATTGACTAGGCCAAGGCTGTTTGTGTGTGTAAATGTGGATTTCTGTGTGACCACAGAATTCAAATGTGTGGAACACTTCCATCAAACACAGGCTGTGTTTGAATATTACTGTTTTTCTTTTCCATCACCTCCCTCATTCCCCTCCCCTCATTTATCATTTTCATCCATTCTCTCTTCCCCTCCTGTTTTGGTTTTGTATTTTTTTTGTCCCCGCACCTCTTTCATTCGCTCCAGGTTGCAGCTCTGTGCCGGAGTTTTTCCGCATTATGACTCGTCAGTTTACAGCGCACGAGTGGAGCGCCATCCAATCAGCCGGCTTGGAGCACCAGCAACTCGCCGCGTTCTACCGCCACTGGGTAACCATGGCAACCATACTACCTTGTGCCCTGTGTGTGTAACAGAAGAAAGCACAGGGAGAACATAACATTGCCGCTGTCCTCTGAGGCGACACACACTTGTATTTTTTTACATACATGTGCAAATTTGTTTCTCAAACGCTGTCATCAGAGACGTGCGCTTTCATTTCATTTTCTTTGGTTTTTGCCTCCTTTCACTCACAGTTTCTTGCATGCACTCACACTCTCTCGCTCTCTCTCTCTAATACACACACACACACACACACACAGATGGTCAGCAAAAGCAACAGTGGAGCTAAGTAAAGATTTTGTGCGATTGAGAGGGTGGCACAGAGACGTCAAGCACTGATATCACCACCACACTGTTGACTAATGGCAGAGCTCAACGGTTGCCATAGCGATTAGCCTTGTAATAGTGTTATTGTGGCTTATTGGTTGTCGAGCAGGGTCGGTTTTGGTTGGATACACACACACACACACTGACACACAATGTCCTTCTTTGGTGTGCACTCTGATAAACATGTGTGCACAAACTCCCATCTGTTGCGGTTTTAAGTGGTGTTTCTTCTTAGCCAAAACACCCTCCACCACACACACACACCATCCCACACATGAAGACACACGCATACACACAGATCATCATTTTCTGCATGCAGCTGATCGGGTTTCTTCCCTTTCCATCAAGGCCCTGAAGGAGAGCTTCATCAAAGCCATCGGCACCGGTCTGGGCTTCAACCTGCAGAGGGTGGAGTTTCACCTGCCGTCTGAGCCGCTCACACAGGACCGGGTACTGCACCAGACCAAGATGCATCTAGATGAGGAAGAAGAAGAGGACTGGGTATTCGAAGTGAGTCTGGTGTTGTGAAGAAAAATAAAAGTCCAGAGATGTTGTTAAAATCTAGAGGTTTGTGTATTAGAGGTCACAGCTCAACAATTCAGTCTATTTTTGTCTCTCATCAGCTTCCAAGTAGTCTGTGGGTTTATTCTCAGGTTTAAAATGTTGCTATGCCATTTGATAATTGCTCCATTTTTCTGGATTTTCCACTTGTGTCACGAATGCATCAGTGCTGTGCTAGTTCACACTTCACAAATGTTTGCTCAGTTCACGCACACACAGATAAAAATAAGCTATTCTGTGTTTGTTTCTTACATTTTTTGGAAATGAGCTGCTCTGAGCTATTCTTTATCAGCAGACTCGCCTCCTCCCAGCCACGTAGTCCTCAGCAATCGCTGCTTCCCACACAGAGTGAAATACTGTATGCAGCTATAGAACTGATGACCGATTAGTTTCAAGTGCAAAGATGATAACATGAGTGTGTGTGTATTTTTTGTTTGTTTGTTTGGTTTTTGTTTTTTATATTAAGTAATGTGTCACAAACCAGGGCAGCTCAAAACAAGACAAGCTCCACGCGAGCTTCCATGGGGGTTTCTTGCATATAATTTGGGATCGCATTAAACAAGCTGGAAGCAGCTTTTAGGAAAGTCTAACACAGTGGTTCAAAGGACTTGGGTGCTATGCAGAGGAGTCCTTGATACACATTTCCACAGTGAATATGCCCTTGAGAGCATCTTCAGAGAGAATCGTAGGTGACCTCATACGGAAATACAAGTGGTTGTGGTTTGGGGGGGGGCTCTCGAGTGTTTCTTCATCCTGCCTCACATGATAACTGAAGATTAGAGGAGTGCACCTCACAGAGCAAAGAACTCCTCTTTCTGCCATTGCTCTGCTCCCCCTATTAATCTGTACATTTCTTTGCCCTAGAGCAGACACTAAGTTACAAATATTTAAAGCAAGAACATATTGGTACACAACACACCACAATGATCTAGGCCATCTCTTTCAAGCCCTTAAAAAACATGACATCCTTTAAAATTAGGAACATCCTGTCACAGAGCATTGCTGATGACTCGGCGCATGGATTTTTACCTGGCTCACTCAAAACGTCTCTGATCCAACATGTTCTATTAAAAGCACTAAGAGAAACTATAAAGAGATCATATTTTCCAGATTTAAGGAATTTAAAATCCTTCTCCTCACATACAAAACCCTTAGCGACCAAACTCCGTCATATCTTAAAGGTCTAATAGTACCCAGTAGAGCACTTTGCTCTCTACTTCTGGCTCTTCCAAAAATACCACGGGAGGCCTTTAGCTGTCAAGCTCCTACACAACCAGGTTGTGATGCAGACTCTCTTCTTTAATGTTAACCTTAAATACTTTATTCTTTGATAAGCTTATCATTAGGCCTGCATCAGGTGACCCTATATCATCTGTAAACCAGCTACGCTGTGATGTAATGGTCACTTCACCTCTTCCTTTCTCTCTCAGTGCATTTACAGTTTGTGTCGTCTCCCCTGCAGTTTGTGCACACACATACTTTTCCTCTGTGTCTCCTTTCCTCTCTGACTTTTCAGCAACTCTTTGAAACTGCAACGATGAGCTATCACTGGCCACATCGCCAACC